AAGAAGAAGAAGAAGAAGAAGAAGAAGAGATTGGATTTTATACCCCGCCCTTCACCCGGAGTCTCAGAGCGGCTTACAAGCTCCTTTCCCTCCCCCTCCCCACAACAGACACCCTGGGAGGTGGGTGGGGCTGAGAAAACTCTGACACAAACTGCTCTTTTTCAAGGACAGCTGTGCCAGAGCTTGTGACTGACCCAAGGTCACATCAGCAGGTGCAAGTGGGGGAGTGGGGAATCAAACCCGGTTCTCCCAAATTAGAGTCTGCGCACTTAACCACTACACCAAACTGGAAGAGGAGGAGGAGGAGATTGGATGTATACCACACCCTTCCCTACCCAAAGGTGTCTCAGAACAGCTTACAATCTCCTTTCCCTTCCCCTCCCCACAACAGACACCCTGTGAGGTAGGTGGGGCTGAGAGAGCTCTTTTGAGAACTGCTCGTGAGAGAACAGCACTGAAAGAACTTGTGGCTGACCCAAGGTCACACCAGCAGCTGCATGTGGAGGAGTGGGGAATCACACCAGTTCTCCCAGATAAGAGCCCTGACTACTACACCAAACTGGCTCCCAAGCTTTCATGTGCATGCCTTGAATAAAACGTTGTCGGTCTTAAAGGTGCCACTGGACTCAAACTTTGTTCTGCCACTTCAGACCAACACGGCCACCCCCACCTGAATAGTCTCCATAGTCTACCACGGAGCAACGCTCCGCGTTACGTTCTGCCTTATGGTGGAAAGAATCAAGCAGTGCTCTAAGCTTGTCTATGGCCCACACATTGCAGTGACAATTTATCCATAGGCAGGTTCATAGCCAGGATTTTTCATCCTGGGGGGCTCCGGGGTTCTGGGCCCCCCCCGCGGGTGCCAGGGGGGGCTTAATTTAAAATAAACATTTAAACCCCAGGCGAGTCTCCTCCCTGCTTGCTAGCAGGAAGAAGACTCGGGGGGGGCAGCAACCGTGGCCACCCCCTCTCTTCCCCCGCCAGCCAACTGGGAAGAGAGGGGGTTTTAAACTTTAAACCCCCCTCTCTGGAGTCATGCCACAGTGGTGGCATGATTTCTCCATTGTATCCTCTATGGCGTGACTCCAGAGAAGGGGTTTAAAGTTTCAACCCCCTCTCTGTTCAGATGGCTGGTGCGGGAGGAGAAGGGGCAGGTGCGTGGCCTCCTCCGCCGGCTGCGAAGTGTTCTTCCTGCTAGCAAGCAGGGGAAAGACTCCGCCGGCAAGGGAGGAGGGAAACCTTGTGGGGCTGTCCCTTTAAGGGGGACTACGGGTCAGTCCATTGGCCCTTTCTAGGGAACTGTGAACAGTGAGCAAACTCTCAGATCAGCGCATATGGACATAGCTGGAATCGCTCCCTAGGTCCTCCAACAAGGCTATGTATCCTTTTAATTATATTTATAAGTTTGGCCTCAGCCAAAGCTTGGAATAGTAGAAGGGTATGTTTTTCTCTAATCTAGGAGGCAGAAGGTGCGGCGAAGCGTATCCTTTATGTCAAAGAGAGGAAAAAAGGCAATTACTGTTGACGGAGTTTAAATATGCAAGGAGTGGAGAAGAAGAAGAAGAGATTGGATTTATACCCCGCCCTTCACTACCCAAAGGTGTCTCAGAGCGGCTTACAAACTCCTTTCCCTCCCCCTCCCCACAACAGACACCCTGTGAGGTAGGTGGGGTTGAGAGAGCTCTGACTCAGGACTGCTCTTTTTCAAGAACAGCTCTGAGAGAACTATGGCTTGTCCAAGGTCATCCAGCCAGGTGCAAGTGGAGGAGTGGGGAATCAAACCTGGTTCTTCCCAGATTAGAGTCTGCGCACTTAACCACTACACCAAACTGGCTCTCCACACTGGCACCCCCGATCTCCCCCTCCTTAAGGATCTGTTTTCCCATGCGGCTGTTTTCCTGCGATCCATCAACGAGGTCTGAAACCTTTGGCTCCAATTCAATCCCTTTTGAGAAGTATCTTATTCCCCCCCACCCCAATCTTAATACTTTTGGGGTATAAAGTTAGCCCCGAGAACCCCAGCTCTTTGTTGCAGTTGTTGGGTCCCATCTTGAAAGTGGGCTACAGCAACTGGCTCCGACTACCCAGGTGGAAGCACATAGTGGAATGGGAGCGTGATGCTGCTACCCAACACAGGCACCCCTTAAGACGGTACTCCACTCGTCCACCCTGCTGTCACCTACGCTATTTCCTCCTTCCTCTGATGAACCTTACTGGGCTTCACTTGCATATTGTCCCCCCCCCAGGGGTCATTTCGTAGAAAAAGAGGTGCAGGAGCTCATTAGCATAACTCATTAGCGTAACTTATTTGCATATGCCACCCCCCCTGACATCACCGGAAGTGTGTCAGAAAGCAACACCCACCGCTCAGGCTCCACTGGACTGTTTTGGATTGCTAGCAATTGGGGGGTGGGGGAACGTGCAGACCTGTCTTCGCAGAGGAGGGAGAGCTTGTACCTGAATAAAACTTGGTCTTAAAGGTGCCACTGGACTGTTTTGGACTGGGGGGCCGGTGGGGGGGGCTCTGCAACTTATCTGGCTGCTTCATGCTCTGACTGAGGGCTGCTGGGAGCAGAGGGTGGGGCTTGTTGCATGAGCCCGCCCCCTGGGCTCTTTACTGCCGGAGCTCCGCTCCTGTGTGCTCCTGCAGGAAATGACCCCTGGTCCCCCCCACCCATTCCTTTCTAGAGTAGTAACCCTTGCTTAGGTTAGGATTTGATAGAAGCTATGATTTGTAGAAGGGCCGCGATAGCACAGAAGTTAAGATGCTGAGCTGCAGACCGGAAGGTCTGTCGTTCAGTAGTTTGAGACCCCAGTGCCACGTGACGGAGTGCGCTCCTGTCTCTGGCCCCAGCTCCTGCCAACCAAGCAGTTCGAAAGCAAGGAATTTCAAGTAGGTACCGCTTCGGTGGGAAGGTAACAGCGTTCCGTGCGCCTCGGCGTCTAGTCATGCCGGCCACATGACCACGGAAACGTCTTCAGACAGCGCTGGCTCTTCGGCTTGGAAATGGAGATGAGCACCGCCCCCTAGAGTCGGATTTGACTAGCTTTCGAGCAAGGGAAACCTTTACTATCATCTGTAGAACATTTATTTAGCATGTGTGCATGCTTCCAGCTCTGTATTCAATTTGCCAGTTCCCTTTGTTGCTATCCTGTTTTTAGTTAATTGGTTTTTTAATTATGGCTGATTCTGCATTGGCTTTTCCCTCTGCTGTTTTATGAAACCCACGCTGGAACAGAAATTCCCCTCCACACCGCATGCCGCTTTTGCTTCCTTTGATCATCGGATTTTATGGTACCCTCTACACTGCATGCTGCTTTTGCTTCCTTTGATCATCGGATTTTACGGTACCCTCCACACTCCATGCTGCTTTCGCTTCCTCTGACCATCAGATTTTTATGGTAGCCGTCTGCATAGATTTATGGCCGTTTTATGGCCATTCAGGGGTGACGTTGCAGTCAGTATGGCGTTGCCCCGGGGTACCTGAATGTGGTTTTGAGCTGCACTTTCCCCTCCCAGTTGAGAAAATGTGGAGCCAATGCTGGATGCAATATCGCCCTATATATTTATTGTTCTGTTTCTGTTGTGAGCCGCCATGAGCCCACTGTGGGATAGGGCGGGATATATATGCAATAAATAAATAAATAAAGTTAAAGGGGGCTGCTCCTATTGTCCGGGTATAGACACATGTAGGCCATTTGGGTAACAGAATGATGCACATGCATACGCAGATTTGAACAAGGAAAAGTACGCCTGCCTGCTATTGTAAGAGGCCCGGATTTTTATAAACATCTCCAGCCTACAAAGGGGCAAGACCAGGGGTCGTTTCGTAGAAAAAGAGCTAGGGGAACTCATTAGCATAACTCATTAGCATATGCCACACCCCCTGACATCAGGGGCCCGGCGGTGGACCTGCAAGGCCGGCGGGAGTGCGAGGAAGCCCCACGAAGGCCCTCCCTGGCCCCAGGCAGGCAGGCAGGGGTGGGGAGAGGCGGGGAGGAAGCAACTTACCCTCCCTCTTCTCCTGCCTCCTCCTGGCTGAATGAGGGCCGGAAGCGGGGCGGCTGGAAGCAGGGGGCGGGGCTTCATCGTGTGCCCCACACCTCACCCGGGGGAACTGCGATCCCCCTCGAAAGACAGTTGCCCATTTAATGAACCACAGCTTTCCTTCCCCCCTCAGCTGAAAACTCAGAAAACTGGAAACACAGAATCTTCCTAGATCTCAGCTGTTGAAGAGCCCATAAGTTCTCGTGGGAGGCAAATGACCACCCCTTAGCACAGGGGTCATTATTACAATAATATTAGCAGCAGATGCCTTCCTTTCTTTTATGCACACGGTTCAACCCCTCTGCTCTCGTTTCATCTCTTCTGTGGAATCGTTTAGATCTGCCTTGTCCTTAGCAGAAGAAAGTGAGCACAAGGGGCTTTTCTTTTAGGGAATACTGTGCCACCTGCAGTGCGATAATTGCAACAGCCTCAGAAATCGCTGGAGAAACCCATTATCGTTACTAAGCTCCACTACACCAGTCAGGGAGAATTACTTTTTTGACTGGGGACAAATCTTATGCAACAGAATATCCTTCGGCGTGCACGTTACCTTTCTTAAATCTTGCTCTCTTTTTCTTTCCGGGCAGATCTGCAATTGAAACAGAAGATTCCATGAAAAAAGGGATGGAGATAATATCCATATCGCGGGTTTCCAGACTTCACAGTCCTAGACAGTTCTCCCGTGTCCCGTACCCATCTTAGAAGCCTTCACTTGGGGACACTGTACACCCACCCACAGGCAAGTGCGACTTCCTTCATTGACTCTGAGTTATGCGACACGCCCGCTCTGGACTGGCCACCAATGCTCCCTCTAAGCTGTGGAATCTTGTGAGTAGAAATTCTACTTTGGGAGCTGCTGGCATTCAAGTCGTGAGCGCGCGATTGGGCTGCTGCATCAATTCGTTCGCTCTGGAGCCCTCCTTCCTGAGTTAAGACAAACATGTGTGAGCCGGAGGAGGAGGAGGAGGAGGAGGAGGAGGAGGAGGAAGAAGAAGACGAGGAGGAGGAGGAGGAGGAGATTGGATTTATACCCTGCCCTTCACCAAAAGGGAATTAGATAAGCATATGGAGCAGAGGTCCATCAGTGGCTATTAGCCACAAGGTATAGCTAGGGGCTCTGGGGCAAGTGATGCTCTGTCTTCTTGGTGCTTGGGGGGGTCAACAGTGGGAGGGCTTCTAATGTCCTGGCCCCACTGCTGGACCTCCTGATGGCACTGGTATTTCTGGCCACTGTGTGACACAGAGTGTTGGACTGGATGGGCCTTTGGCCTGATCCAACATTGGCGTCTCTTATGTTCTTATGTTCTTATGTTCTTAAGAAGAAGAAGAAGAAGAAGAAGAGGAGATTGGATTTATACCCCGCCCTTCACTTTGGAATCTCAGAGCGGTTTACAAACTCCTTTCCCTTCCCCTCCCTGGGTGGGTGAGGTGTGGGTGAGAGTGTGAGGTGGGTGGGGCTGAGAGAGCTCTTGACATAAACTGCTCTTTTCCAAGGACAGCTGTGCCAGAGCTTGTGACTGACCCAAAGTCACACCAGCAGCTGCAAGTGGAGGAGTGGGGAATCAAACCCGGTTCTCCCAGATTAGAGTCCGCACACTTAACCATTACACCAAACTGGCTCTCTGTGGGCTAGCTCACACTCACTCAGCTTAGAGGGAACAGTGCTGGCCACCCTAGCGCTATCTCAGCATCTCCCGTAGAATCTTTTGGGAAGCGGCTCCCATGTTCAGCTGAGTCACAAAGTGATGAAATATGAAGTGATTATCCTGATGTGTGGATCAGCCCTCGGGCCTGCAATCTTACGCATACCTGCCACAAAAGGAGTCCCACATTGACTTACTCATGCATGAGAAACAGGTTTAGGGTAAAAGGCTTTCAGCAGGAGCCTAGTTCCTTATTTTCTCCTCCAGGAACTTCTTGAACTCAAAATATGAATGCAGCTCCGTAGGCTTTTTAATTAAAGGCCGCCTGCCCCAGACTCCAAGCACATCTTGAGGCGTTTACCTGTGTTTATATATGTGGAGTTTTGCTACACAAGTATTTTTTTTGTGCGGTTTCTTTCTGTGTTCCAGTGTGGGGTTTTGCATGTATGTCGCTGTGGTTTTAAATACAGGCCTGTGGCATACGAAAGAAGGGGCGACGGACGGGTGACTGGTGTGTTTTATGACTGGATGGTAGGCTAGGGTTGCCGGGCCCAGGTCTGCGCAGGGGTTCCCCTGCATTTGGGGGCTCCAATCCACCCCCAGCTAGCTGGCCAAGCCCCACCCTCAAGAGTGACCACCCTTCCCCCTCCCCTCCTGTGAGATTTAAAGGGCTTCAGGTGATTGGCCAGGAGCATGTGGGCCACCAATCAGCTGTAGGACCCTTTATATCTTTCAGGAGGGAGGGAGGGGGGCTGCCACCGGCCCCCTCTCCTTCCCTCCTGAAAGATTGGGGAGCCACGTGCTCCCCACTGGAGGTGGGGGCATCCCTGCCCCCCCGGAACACCCCCCAAATCCCCCCACTGGAGTGACAAAGGGACCCAGCAACCCTAATGGTAGCTGTTGGAACTGAGTTAACGGGTTTGGGAAGAGACTATTACATATCCAGGAGAAAAAAGCGGAGTGGGTAGAGAGTGACGTGCTGTGAGAGAAACCTGTGTTATCTGTGGAAGTTATTAGCTTAAGAGGCAAGTAAGGAAATAAGCCATTGGGGCTGGGTCTATTTAAGGAACTGCAGAGACGGAAGGAGAACTGTATCTGTCTGAAACCATTACGCGTATGAACTTTCCTGAAACCCTTTGCACTGTTATACTTCAAAATAAACCTTATTTATGTTTTAAGAGAAAACAACTGTTCTGTTTAGAGTAATGGATTCCCTTATCCCTCAGAGACCCCCGTGTGCTAACCATTCTGTCATTCTCCCAAATATAACGAAGCCATCTTGTTCCTTAGATCCAACTAAGACTTCTAAGGCGAGAGCAAAAATAAGTAGGGAATGCTACGCAAGGCAAGGAGGCAGTAGCATAGCACTCATCCCCGCAGAACATTGCAGGTGTTGCATATAAAGGGTCTCAGAAAACAGCAAAACCTTACAATATACATCAAGATCAAATTAAGACAAAGCTGCGTTTCCCTTTCTTTTCTACTCGATGGAAAACGAGTTCAATGAAGTGCAGAGCAGGGCAGACATTTAAGTCTTCTTCAAGTTATCGACCTTATCAAGAGACGACATCCCACCATTCTGCATTAGTTGTAATTTAATAAGTGGACCAATGGCATTGCTAAGCCAACTAGATTCCCCCCTCCGCCCAATTCTTGGCATGGAAGATAACCCTGGGGTTTTTTTTTGATTGAATCAGAAGGAAGGAAGAAGGAAGGAAGGAAGGAAGGAAGGAAGGAAGGAAGGAAGGAAGGAAGGAAGGAAGGAAGGAAGGAAGGAAGGAAGGCGCGTACTGACCTGGGACTATACACATCGTTTGGCATTCTTCTAGAGTTAGGAAGTTGTTTTCGTTGCCTTCGCAGCCACCGTAGTCAAAGAGTTCGCACTGGTGTGTCTGAATGTTGAAGTGATACCGGCTGTGTATGGCTTTGCAAGGTCCGGCATCGGCTTTCATCGCGCAGATGGACAGACCGGGTTTCAGAGGGACCAAAGGAGGGCCTAGAGGAAGGTGTGTACAAGCATTGTCAACTGAAAGTGCAGCATTATCTGGCCCCGCTTGGGGGACCTCCTGATGGCCCCTGGTTTTTAGCCACAGTGTGACACAGAGTGTTGGACTGGATGGGCCATTGGCCTGATCCAACATGGCTTCTCTTATGTTCTTCACATAATTCAACATTGTTAGGGGTTGCCAACTCCAGGCTGGGAAATTCCTGGAGATTTTGGATGTGGAGCCCGGGGAGGGTGTGGCTGGGGGAGGGGAGGGGCCTTGGCAAGGTATAACGCCATTGAGCCCACCCTCCAAAGCAGCCATTTTCTCCAGGAGATCTCTGTGGACTGGAGATCAGCTTTAATTCAGGCCCTACCTGGAGTTTGGCAACCCTCAACACCATGGAAAGTAACTGGCCTGATGAGTAATTATTTGAAAGATTTATAACTTGCTTCTCAACAGGGTACAAAGCACATAAAAACATAAGAGAAGCTGATGTTGGGTCAGGCCAATGGCCCATCCAGTCCAACACACTGTCACACAGTGGCCAAAAACACCAGGGGCCATCAGAAGGTCCACCAGTGGGGCCAGAACTCCAGAAGCTCTCCCACTGTTGCCCCCCCAAGCACCAAGAAGACAGAGCATCCCTTGCCCCAGAGTCCCTATCTATACCTTGTGGCTAATAGCCACCGATGGACCTCTGCTCCATATGCTTATCCAATTCCCTCTTGAAGTCGTCCATGCTTGTAGCTGCCACCACCTCCTGTGGCAGCGAATTTGAGACACAGAGACAGTGCAACAGAAACGGGGTTGCCAGGTCCCCTTGTTGCTCCAGTGGGGGGATTTGGAGGGCATTCCAGGATGTCCCCGAGATGATGACATCACCCAGAAGCGACGCCATCACACCGGGGGACATCAAGCAGGGACACTCTGGCTTAAGGGCAGAACTCTATGGCAAAACTGGCTCGAAACATGGAGTTTTGCCCTTAAACCAGAGCCTCTCCAAAGCTCATGCCCTGAAAATCCTGCCGGCCTATAAGGCGCTCCTGGACTCGAACTCTAGCTGTTCTACAGGATTCCCGTGAGCTTCCTTTGGATGTTCTCCGGAAGCTGTCTGCACACGCCACCCACAGCATTGAGTGCACAAGCCAAGGCATTTGCTTCTGCATCCTAAGTTCACGTTCTCCCGGCCAACGTGTACGCCAGCTGTTCTTTGTGGATTGCGTAGAACTGCAGCTGTTTTCTTTGCTCGGTTCAGTTGCGCAATCCTTCCCAGGGTTTCCCCCTAAGGCATCTATGACAGCCCCATCCACTTCCCTCCTTCAGAGGGAAGATTTTCTCCCCCTCCGTTTTCCTTTCCCTTTGCTGACTGAGGCGCCCTAGTAATGCGTGACCTTCTTTGCTGAAGAACTCTGGCTGTCCCGCCCTGTCACAGTACGGCATTTTGGCTGTCGGCTCAGGCCCAGGAACCCGAGGGAAGGATCAGGAGCCCGTTTTAACTGAAACCACTTAAATGGCACTTGTGGCAGTTTTGAAATTCAACAATAACAACATATTGTATTTCACACAGAGGGGAACGGTCAGGTGAAATCCGGGGTCTCGGTGTGGATGATGATTCCCCGCCTGTGAAAACCAGGATTCCATGAGACGTGAGATGCCTATTCTGCTTTCCGCAGATAGTGCTGTGTTATTACACCAGTTTGGTGTAGTGCTTAAGTGCGCGGACTCTAATCTGGGAGAATCGGGCCTGATTCCCCACTCCTCCACTTGCAGCTGCTGGATGACCTTGGGCAAGCCATAGCTCTGTCACAGCTGTCCTTGAAGGAGCAGTTTCTGTCAGAGTTCTCTCTGACCGATTTGTATGGGCATATTGACTTCATATAACAGATATTTCACGCTTTAAAATGGGGCTGAGACCAATTTCCCACAGCCGCTGCTCTGTGCTCGCTCCTCTCTTTGCCCCGATGGTGAGTGTCCATTTCCCACTCTAAGCCGCGCAGCCGCATTTTGACCCGCGGCTTCGCCCGATTTCCCTCGCGGTTTTGTGATCCTGTTTTTTGAGAATTACGAAAGCGCGGGCAAAATCAGGCAAAGCCGCTGGTCAAAATGTGGCCGCGGGGCTTTGAGTGGGAAATTGACACGTGCCATCGGGGCAAAGAGAGGAGCGAGCGCAGAGCAGCAGCTGTGGGGAAATCGGTCTCAGCCCCATTTAAAGCGTGAGATATCTGTCATATGAAGTCAATATGCGCATACAATCCATCGTTGGAAAACACAGAGGCCAAAGAGTAAATATACAGAATTACACATAGAAAGTCCAACACTTTTCCCAGGTAGTTTTTCAGTGTTCCAGACCTCTGGTCCTTCCTCACGAACAAAGAACCATTCCTGAGAATCCCTTTTCAGTTCCTTACAAGGTAATGCTTTTCTATTATTTTTTTTTCCGATAACAATTTTATTTTATTTTATAATCCAACATTCTACAAACAAACTTAAAACCAGTGAATACCATAAAGCAATGAACAACCAAAGAAGTTTCTAGCGAATGTTGCCAACATTAAGTTACATATGATGAAAGACTTCATAATATTCAGATGGAACATTAAATTTGGATGTATCGGTATTGAAGACAAATTCTAATAAAGGAAACCATTTCGTGTATAATGAGGAGCTCTGATATGAAATGTTATTAGGGGCCACTGCATCAGACAACTTGTCCATGATATAGAAGTCCCAGACTTTCAAGCGCCATGATGAAAGTAGTAGTTTATTGGTAGATTTCCAGCTGCTTGCAATTACCATTTTAGCTGCTGTTAGTAAGGTCGAAATGAGTTCTTGGCTATGTTTGCAAATATGTGGGGCGTTCCAAAGATCTAATAATAATAGCTCAGGTTGCATGGGTATCAGGTGCCCTGTTATATTTTTAATAGAGAGTATGACTTTGGACCAAAACCTCTGGACTTCATTGCACCTCCACCAACAATGAATAAAGGTTCCTGGTTCCCCACAAGAGCGCCAACAGAGAGGGGAGTTTGTTTTGGATATTAAGTGGAATTTCATAGGGGTGTGGTACCATCTGGTGAAGACTTGGTCTCCCTTGCTCCCTAGCTCTAACCAGCACCTTTATAGGTTACTACAACGTTACAGGACCAAAATAATAGAAAATAATAGTTTGATCATACATAGTTGTGAATTGCTGATGGTCTTCCCTTGGTGGGGGTTATTTGTGGCAAATATTATCAAGGCAAAACAGCTTGTCTTGAAGGGGAGGGAGGGTTTCTTCTTTGTCCCCTGACTCAGTCGGATGTGACAGCTCGCCAGCCCCCACCCGGTTCAAAGCTCTTCCTGCTACGCTATCTAATCTTCAGCTGTGCTAATTCTTCATGGACTTTCCCATTTACAAGGGGAGGAATGTGGAGTGCCGTGTGACTCAGGGCCTGCAGGAAACTTGGATGGCCGGATAATCGCCAAAGCAGATACCTGCTCCCTGGAGATTGTGTCTACAAGCAACAGAATAATGTGTGCACGGAAGAGGTTGGACTCCGTGTAGATTATTGAGCTAGTCATTTAACTGTTGGGGTCAGGCAGCAATTTCTCTCCAGGCCACTTTGGCCAGGGATCCTGGAGGTTGTTTTGCCATTTGGGGGGCATATAACAGGGGTCCCTAGGGGTGTGGAGGGGGAGGTATTTGTTTCCTTTCCTTTCTGTTTTTGCCAACTTTTCTTTGCCCCCCCACTGGCAACCTTCTGGAATGTAGTGTTGCACGTTATCTGCACGATGACTGAATTCGAGACGGAGGCAAAATTGAAAGCTACAAAACAGAAATGAATAGAGGGGGAAGAGGAAGCAGGTGAGCCAGTTAATGGACAACTTAGGGATGCCAGCCTCCAGGTGGGACCTGGGGACCCCCTGGAATTACAGCTCATCTCCAGGTAATAGAGGTCAGTTTCACTGGATATAATGGCTGCTTTGGAGGGTGGACTCTACGGCATTGTACCCCACTGAACTCCCTGTCCTTTCAAGGTGGTCTGGATGAGAGACATAGGGAAAAGTATCACACAGGAAAGTTGGTCTAAGATTTGGAAATCATCTAAATATATGAGAGCGGCAAACTATAGGGAAAATGTTTTTAAAATTTTCCATAGATGGTATTGGCCACCAGAACGACTAGCAAAATGTTATTCAAACTGCGCTAATATATGCTGGAAATGCAGGTTAAATGTTGGAACATTCTACCATATGTGGTGGCGGTGTGTAAAAGTTCAGAAATATTGGAAATTTATACAGAAAATAATAGATGAAGTGGTAAACCTAAGGCTTGAGTTGATGCCTGAGATATATTTATTAAATATAATGCCGGAAGCGCTTACCTTTAATGAAAAATATGTAATATCATATATTATTACAGCTGTGAGAATATTATGGGCCAAACACGGGAAAACAGGAAATACACCCAGAGTAGAAGAAATAAGATATAAACTGATGGAAGTAGCAGAAATAGAAAAGTTAAACTTGATATTACAGGGGGGAAATGAAGAGATATTTGTTGAAAGATGGTTAGGGTTATATAAATGGTTAGGATCTGAGAGATGACTCAAAAATATATGTACTTATATGAAATTGTACTAAAAATGTTTTCTGGAAAACTAAAAAAAAAATTATTAAAAAAAATTGTTTCAGAGGGAAGCCATGTTGGTCTTCAGTAGCTGAGCTAGATTGGAGTCCAGTAACCCCTAGAGGCAAAAAAAAAAAAAAATAGAGTATGAACTTTCGAGAGACAACGGTCCCTTTGTCAGATGAGAGCAGGA